TTTAAATGTGAGCTGGGTCGTTGTGGTGCCAGCAAGTCAGCACACTCTTCATTTGTGACCCAAATTGTGTTTTTAAGCGGCCCATCCACTAAAGGATAAACAAGATTATTATTATGAACAGTGACATGTTGAGAGTACTTTAGCATATTTAGCTCATTTTTGCACATTGTCATTTAACTTCTGCTGCTTGATTTCAGACTACTTATTCATTTTGAGTGAAGTATTCCTGATTCCTTACTCCATCCACGCATAAGAATTGGACTAAACTATATAATGCCCATGATATGGGGGAAAGAAATCTCTAACATTATACATCTACTCCATTATATCTGATCACAAAGGCAAATATTATACCTTTCCTCCACTACATTTGTCTGACAGCTTTAGTTGCTGGCTACCTTTCAGATGACTATTTGTCATACCCTTCCTATCTGGTATAAAACACCCCATTATGCATCAAATTCAAATTGGGTAAGTGAGCATTAAAAGTTCCTTTATGGTTTGAGAAAATTCCCCTACTGCTTAAGCTAAATAAAAATGTTAAAAAAGTGCACACAAAGCTTCAAACAAGGCTGTTTTATATACTCTGCTGTAGATTAAACCCAACACTATCTTATATAAAGTAGTTGAAATTAGCACAGCCATACACATCTACAGCGGTAAAATGCAACATACACACTAATACACAAGTCATATTAATACTTATCCAAAATATATGTTTATCTACTAATATTGCATCCCCGTTTAAAATGTAATAACCTTAAAGTAAAGCAGATTTATGGGGCAAAATGCACAATAATGTAAAAATGTGTCTCCTATTGAATCAAAACTTCCTGTCCTACAGGCCCACAAGAAGAGAATCCACCCAGTATCTAAAAGGCATACCAAGTATCACTCATATGTGCCAAGTTTGATCTTGTTTTTCACATATTTAGTCTCTCACACCACAACCTTTACTGAACAGCATGCTTGTTTTTCCACCTTTTTGTTGACCTGTACATCAACACGTCTTTGTGTGTGTACACAGGCCAACAAAACCCACCGAGCGCTGTGTATCCACATCATATTTGTGCCACGCCGGAAAGAAAATTACCCTGAAAGTAAAAGCCGCAAAAACATCAAACACAGTGTTTTGTGACCTCTCACTTTCACACACAGACGTACACAAAAAGGAGACCGATCTAATACAATGTACCAAAGCAAACACAAAGTCCACAGCAGATAAGGGGAGCCGTGTTTAAGCAGCCATTAGCGGGTGTTTGAGTTAAAGAAGCCATTTAGTAAAGCAGTGCTGTCATGTGGTATTTGCTCCGACACTGCTTAAAGGCTGGCTAGTTAAACAGGCAGGAAAGGAAGGGTCAATATTTTCACAGGCGAGCCCGGAGACACAACGGTTGAGATTGGCTGACGGCCGTTTCCCACATTCATACCACTTCCAACCAGTGCTCAAAACTGGTTGGGGCCACAAGACGGGATGGACATCCTGCGGACAACACAAATCACCACAGTTTGAACTGACTAATAACTAATATTTAATGATATTTGGTGAGAAGTAATGCCTTGTCATCAATTTTCCTTGAACTGGGGTTTTAACAGCGGTGTGTCAAAAGCCCAAAGAGATGTATTTATTAAATATCCATAGCTTTATTAGTCTAAATGTACAGCACTGTCAACTGGAGAGTGTAGATATTATACTTTAGTATTTAAGTTTTAGCTATTAGTTGGTTTTATTTGGTATGTTTATTCAAAAATTAGGTTTTAAATTAATAAATAACATCAATATCATATGATAAAATAAAATATAATACCATTGCAGAAGACTGAAAGATAATAATTTATATTTTTAAAGTACCGCACATTATCTATTCAGTATTTATTCCAGTACTCACCTTTGCAATATTGCTATACTTGTTTAAAATGCACAGAATCAACTTGTTTATACAACTTGTATGAAGATGTTGTGTATGTTTGTTAACATGGTTGGGAGGGTTACAGTAAAAAACGTAATCCAAAATGTGGTCAGTAACCTTATCCAAGTATCACAATATTAAGGTAACGTAATGGGATTACTTTCCATTATTATTATGTAAATAAAAACAAGAGAAACAAAATACCAACAAGATGATATATAATAAATATTCTATAAGAAAACAGAATAATGTAACCAAAAGAAAATAGAAGATTTTAAGCTTCAAAACTATGTCCTCTGCTCGGTGTATTGTTAAAAGAAAAACCTGCTTTCCATTTGTTAAATTCAGGCAGTAGTCTACAGACTTTTGTCACAGTAGCAGAACTTTCTTTTGTATCCTGATTACTCCTTACTCGGACACTAAAGTTGATTCTAACTTTGCAAACATTTGGTACATTTAAATACTTGAATAAAACCTTTAAAAGTCTCATACAGGGGTCAAAGTCATCAAAGGCTATTCAACAAGAACACACCAGACTTTGATTATTTTAGGCCTCCATTAAATCCACCTTTCAAAGAATACATGTGAGATAAGTGAGCAGTGTGTGTGTGTGTGTGTGTGTGTGTGTGTGTGTGGCTTCATGTTCAGTGGCCTCTGAATAGAGAAAACCTCCAGCTCATATTTGATCAACCAGTCCCGCTAACCTTAATTGCTTTCCATAGTCAATTAGCCAAGTGCACATTGCCCATTAGCACGCATACTTTTCAACTTCATTTGCTGTGAAGTGAAAACGCAGCAATTTCAGTCTCAGGCAGTCATTAATGACAGCTCATCATCCAGGCAGACAAGTAGTTTTAGCAAATCAGTGACCTCGTCATCATCCTGGTTGTCCAGGCGTTCACTGTGAAATGATGCCCATGGGGCAGCAGGGCATCCTGGGTAAAACAAGCTGTTTTAAAGTCAGTGGCAGCAGGAAACCTCCGTAAATGGATGACTGACAAACTGTTGGGTCATTTCAGGTGAGGAGTAAATAAATAAAATAAATAAATATATTTATCCTCAAGAAGACGCAAACTCAGATCTAAGGTGTCTGAAGTCCTCAATGAGCCAAATGTGTTTTGTACAGGTATTTAGTTCCACCTGCTGTTCACATTGTAAACTACAAGTTCTCTAACAGGAGTAAATTAGATACACAAGGAGGAATTTGTTTCTTGATATTTTGTCTTTCCTCTTTCTTTATAGTATTGATTTATTCTCATTTTAATTGCATTTACTACTTATTTTATATATAAGCACTATTACACCTGCTTTTCCCTCCTGATATTTAAATTGAACTTTTTCTTTTTCAATCCATTTGATGTTACTTACCTTCAAGCTTAACAACCAGAAGTTGAAGAAGGAGCTTTGGAGGTGTGTGAGGAAGGAAAAAGCATTAATTACACTATAAAATACACAATATTTTTGTCTTTGTCATGGAAAAATCATTTATAAAAACAAAAACATAAACAACAACTTTTCTGTGCCTTCTGCTGAATGTGTGCGTGGCAATCGCTGGATTTCACATATTTATGTTAATAAACTCACTGTATACACACTGTACTGCTCCACTCAAACTGTTTATGCTTGGAGATTCAAACATTATCTTGTTCTCAAGAGTTTTCAGCGCAGTACACTGGCATAAACAATCCTTTTTTGAGACCTAAACATTAACAAAACACCAAATAAATACGGTTACCCAGAAGAAAGGGATCTGCCTTGCTCTATAAAGACTTTAACTACTCAGTATTAGTGTTTTAGTTGGATGGAGGATGACACATCTCTGTTTGTCCATAGACGTTGATGCTACAACACTCTGTCATCCAAAATATGTCCCCAACACCAACATCCTCAAAGCATTCGAAACATGTTGGAGGAATTTCACACAACCAGAATGCAAGCACAGAGATCCAGTCCACAGGATTTTAGCAGTGGTGAGAAAAAATATATATACAGACTTGCTAGTGTATGCTTCTACCTGGTTGTGTAGTTTGGTTTGACATTTCTCACCTGTTGACAGGCCAAAAATGTTGCACAAACAGGGATAAAGTGTCTACTTGTCAGCGAGGCAAACTCTGTGCTTAGCCTTAAAGTGAGCCTTTGACTTCAGGCTGAGTGGGTCATTGTGGCTTGGACAAAATGTTAGAGGAAATGTGTTTGACCTCGAGGTTGTGGAGTTTAGTTTCTCTTTACACTACTTATTGACAGGAAATCCACTCGCAATTAAGATTAATTAAAAAGGCATAATTTCCAGCATTATAACATGTGCAATTAATTTATTCATGTTATTCAATATCCTTGGAATTGAGTGAGTGCTTTTAATTTTCTCCCCCATATAGTGAAAATAAAACAAACAAAATCTAATTAAATACATACAATAATTTAATTTTCCTTGTTTTACTCTAGTCTGATCAAATGTGTTCAAACCCAAGATTAAGGGAAACCATAGACTGCATTATTAAGAATAGATGTAGTCTCTGTGACACCATCTGGGCAGTCCTGGCTTTGCCCCATAGCTGTCACGAAGGAAGAAATTAGCTATAGAAACTGCAGCTTCATGTAGCAGGCTGTAAACATGTTATTTCTGCTGTAGTTGGGCATTTTAACATGGAAGCTTAAGGAGATTGACTCACTTCAGTGTTGGCTTCATTTTCCAGCCACTTCATTAAAACAGACCATCAGAGCTTGGTTAAAAAAAAGAATAGGGTGTCTTTTGGATATGTTCAAGGCCTTAAAGATGGAGACCCTTCTGTCTTCATGAATTAAAAAGTCCAGTGTGTTACATTTATAAGGGTCTACTGGCAGCAGTGGAATATAATATTCATGGCATGTTGTGTTTTTGATACCTTAGAGTCCTCTTCTACAAAACCCACCATGTTCCTACAGTAGTGCAGAAAGAGTAAAACCAAACTGACTCCAGATAGGGCCTTTTGTAGTTCTCACAACTACATACGTTTCTTCTACACACTCAACTATATTCAAATGGTTGCAATCTGCAACTTCACCACTAGATGTCACTAAACACACACACACACACACACACACCAAGAATCCTTTGAGTTTGAATAAATTTAATGCCACCAAAAAGGGTAGTGCTACAGATCTTAGTTGTTGTAATAAACAGGTAAAAAGCGTGAAATATTTACAGATGATCAGATTGATTTCAGTGAAACCTAATAACAGTTCTATATTTACAGTTAATCTACACATTGTAATTCTGAAACGGTGTTTTTTGAAAGCAGCCATATGCTGACTAACATCCAAGAAATGCAGCACAGAGCAAGCAATGGCACTATAAAGTAAAAGTAAAAAATAAACATTTTCTATTGCTCTAAAGCTAAAATATTTCAATCTTTGGGTAACAGTGAAAGGCAGAAGAAGATGAAGTAGTAATAAAACATTACATTTATCACTGAATATTCATATGGGGCTATTTAATATGTCCATGTCTTTAAGAAATAATTCCAGCATTCAAAAAGCATACTAATCCAGCAAATACAAGTGAAATATTCTAATAATTTGTGCTAAGATCAGACAGAATAGAAAAATTCTGACTCTCAAAAAAGATGCATAGTTTCACACGGCGGTCCCTTCACTGTTCAGATAGTCGGGCAAAATCTTGCATGTTTTTAAAAAGGTCCTTCATATGTACAGCAACTTAAGGCTTTCTGCGTCTGGAAGAAAGAAAACAACAGAAACCATAAACCTCATTGATCCCAACTTTAAAGGCAAATCAACAGCTGAAATGTGTCGTCTATATAAGATGGTAAACAGTGCACACACATAAACACAGACGCTTTTACTTGCTTACTTTTGATACCCATGGCTTGTGCTTGCCACTGGAGGCTATAGAGGAAGAAGAGGTTGACATGTATCAAATTATCCAATTTATAATAAATTAAGAATTTTCTTAAAAAAAATTGACACCTGAATATGTTTAGAAAAACATATATATTCAAATTAAAATGACAAGAAAGCAGTTTAACAGTATTTTTCTTTAGTTCAATTAATTTAGAGCTTACCCTGTTTTCCATGTTCTCCATTTGTGCCGGTCCTTCTCCAGACCCTGAACGCCTCTTGCGACTGAAACAAAAAAGGACCAAAAAAGGTTTTACCCAACTTGATCATGTTACAAATATGACTCACAATAGATGTAATTAGAATATATTTGTCACAGACATAAAGACTGGATAGATTAGAGACTCTACAATCTCTGTAGGTGTTAATGTGATCTTAATGACATTTTACATCTTCAGTACAAAAAACCTTTAATCTTTAGTTTCAACCATAAGACAGAGTTTTTAAAACAAGGGTTGGTTTGAATATATATTTCTGTAACAGATTTTAGTATCAACTGGGTATGGCATGGTTACACTGTGCACCTTCCCAGAGATGTAAATACCTGTTGCATTGTGTGAGAATGGGAGGCAACAAAGGCCAGATGAGTTAATAATGCTGTTTGACAATCCTTCACAAACATACACATCCTCAGAAGAGTGTCCACCCACACAGGAATTTCCTGACTTGTAATACTCATCCGGACATACTGTACCTTGATGCTGATGCACATTCTTGTTTTAGTGTCTCAATGTCAGTGAACTGCACAGCTTGTCCTCCACCTCTGGTCCTAAAAACATTACCCTGAGAAAGGAAACAACAACAACAACAAAAAAAACAATCACTCACACAAATGTCCAAAAAGAGAATACAAGAAGAAACACATACCGTATTTGCCGGACTATAAGTTGCACTTTTTTTCATAGTTTGGCTGGTCCTGCGACTTATATATGACATTGAACATGTTTTAAGGCTTAACCAAAGTACTCCAGCCACTCGACATCTCAGTGAACCGGAGCTTTAAGGCAGTCCTGCGTCGCCTGTGGGAGGAGTGGATGGTGGATGGAGAGCACAGCTTCACGGCAACCGGGAGGATGCGCCATGAAACTTTCCAGCAAGTCATTGGATGGATCGACACAGCATGGACTTAAGTGACAACAGAAACCATGTGTTTAACTTGCATTTCCTGATTGAATGTCTGTTCTTGGTCATGGATTTTGTGAAATACATTTATAAATAAATGCAACTTATAGTCCGGTGCAACTTATATATGGTTTTTTTCCTCTTCATGAGCCATTCTTTGACTGATGCGACTTATAGTCCGGAAAATACGGTACTCACAAATCAACAGTGAAAATGTCCCATTAATATCTAAAACAGGACCCCATTGTGAAATCAAACAGTGTGATTAAGTCGAAGTAAAATTCATGCAAGATATATAATAATCAGCAGTCTCAAATTAAGCAGTTATGTCGTTTTACCTTGATCAATTTGGTCTCGATCTCCCCGTCGGAGGCAAGCTCTTGATGTCTAAGCACATACTTTTGGCATTTAGACAGAGCTTTCTCGTTCGGGGTCGACACCTTGATTGCATTGGGTATGATTGGCTGCAAGACAGTGTCTAGGTCCAAATTAGAAGTTGGTTTGTGGTCTACCCATTTGTCTCCACCCGCAGAGTGTGAGCGTCTGTGCATTGGATGAACTGGAGGAGCCGTCTGGTGATCCCAGTGTGAGAAAGACAAACCAGGAAGTTATTCACATGTGACACCAGCAGGGACTATTTAAAGTTTGTTGGGGTTAGTAGTGAAGGTCTTTCATTAGAGCGTGTTAGCTGTTGCTTGTTAGCTTGTACTGAAAATAAATGTACTACTGGAAGTCTAAGAGGGACAGGGTGTCCAACTGGATCAAATCTTTACACTTCCAAGGTATAGTAGCCTTCAAATCACAACCCAAACAAACAATATTCTGGAGCTTCCAGCAGTACATATTTTCATAAAGTAACTAAAACACACACACTGCAGTGAAAACAGCCCAGTAGAGTGAATAAGAATTAACATGCAAAGCAGCGCAAAAGTAGTGTGGAAGCAGCAATAAAAGACTACATGCAAACAGAATAAAGATGTGTTCTAAAGCTCATGTGACTGATGAAGGGTTTTAAACTGACAACTGATACAGTCAAGTCTTAGAAATAAGACTGTTATAAGATTATTCTGTTTTGGTCCCAACAATTTGAGCAGGTCACCAAGGAACTCCACTATCACTTGGTGCTCCTAATTTAAAGTTTTGTACGGCCCACACTGGATGGTTTACCGCATAGTAGTGACTGAAGATAATCAGACTGAATTGTTGTTCCGTTTCACTTCATTAATCATTCATTATTTTAATCTCTGGGGGGAAAAACAGAGATGGTGGCAGCAATTCAAAGTATGGAACCAGGCTAAGTCAAACTATGATTTTAAGATACAAAAGGAAATCACAGACCTGATTCAGACCTTGACCAAAAGACCAGACAGTTTGTAAGAAGCCAGGAATATCCGTATGGAACGGCAGGTTTTAATTTGGTGGTTCAGCCCACATGTGTACAGTCACACACTTTCTACTCTTTGTCCATTAAGTCAAATAAAGGTTATAGTCGATTTGTACACTTGCGTATGTGGGCAAAAATGTCTGTCAATCCCCCTTTTTAATGATTCTAAAAAACTGAATTATGCAGAGCAATGCCTCTGCAGAAAAATACATGACAATGAGACAACTAGATGATTTATTATTATTATGGCCATTTTTAAAGTGGGACACTCAAGCAATCTGAGTAGACCCAAAATCATCAGTGTTGAGTGCCATATCAAATCACTCCAAACTGAACCCTAATATTGCAGTTGTATGAGTCCAGTGGTGTTCTTGATTAATAAACATGCATCATTCTGCTTCGCTCTTTTAACACGTGTAATACTGCTGCGACTGTTACAGCATTTTTGTGTGTGTTTATTTTAGAATCATTTTTGTCATTTTAAGTGGTGCTGATGAAACGTGTGATGAAACACTACGAGGAAAAAAGCAATTCTAGAGGGAACTTGGCAACAGAAAGAACTACGAACATGATATAACTACTCATAAGGCTGAAGATGCGAGTCAAAAAGCATTTACAAGCATGACAGATCAGTCTGTCTTAAAGTCTGGATAAGAGAAACAAGCCTACACTGATGCAGCACTTCTACTGGATGCATGTCTTAACAAGCAGACATCTACTGATACCATTACGGGGGCAGTTCTACACCAAGGCGAAGCTTAAACTATAAGCCCTCAGAGAAAAACTACACATAATCTTAAGGACATCTAGGTTCTAACACACACTAACCCTTGTGCCTGCCTCTAGGTCTAGCCCATAGACTAGAGTCGTAGCAGGGGCCTCAGTGCCTGGGGCCCAGCGCTGGCCTCTCCTGCGACCCACGCTGCTGGTGCTGTGGCATGGGGTGGGGTTCCGGGTCCTGCACTGGGGAGTCCCAGGCTGCCTAGCCTGGCTGCTTGAGTCTACAGGGAACCTCTGCTCCCAATCAGAGATGCAGGAGGCTACTGAAGGATAGGCTGAAGAGGAGGATGTGGTGGAGGAAGGGTAAGGGTCCTGAACTGCCCTAACACTGGCTGGATTTTGGTGGGAGGGAGTTTGGCTGAAGTCCTGAAAAGTGATGAGGGAATGGGGCCAAGCATTGTGGATGTTAGGGGCTCCAGATCAACACAAATACAAAACAGGGTAACATAGAAAAAAGCTGCGGTGTACGGTAAGCACAGAAATCTTCAGAATTCATCTGTAGGGATCATCATATAATAATTAGTAGCATGCAAAATTTCCATGTCAAATTAAGTTTCGCAAGAGTGATGAAGTGAACACTGATGAACCGGCAGTATTAAAGCGTGGGTCACTCACAGGAAGTGGGGAGGGTGAGGCAGACCGCTTCTGGCCGATGTTGCGATCTCTCTCCCTTGAAGGCCTTTCAGGCTTCTCTGGACGCTCAGTGCCACCACCGCTGCTCTCTGTCACTATGGCCTTGAGCTGTTTCAACTTTTCATCCTTCACCCACAATTTGTTCTGCATCTCTAGCTGCTTGGCGTTCACTCGCCTCTCCTGATTAGACAACACCAGCGAGAAACAATTGAAAGAACAGTCTCCTCATTTATACAAGAATATTCTCTGGAGGTATTGTGGTTCACATTTCTCATTTCGAAGTTCTTGCACTCATGATAGTGTACGAATTGTTAGTAGGTTTGAGGAGCAAAACATACATTCTGATTCAAAGTATCTGCGATTTTTTGTTCTTTCAAAGTTGACTTCTAATAAAATCTGTCAGCACCACTTTTTTTCTTTTACATTTGTTTTATTAAAACGGAAACTCTTCTTTTTTTAAAAATATATCAGGTATCAATATATAATTGGCCAATAAAAAAGAAAGATTTAATTATTGTTATTGTTGTGATAATGGAATTTAAGCTGGTAACACATTGGCTGCTGACTAGGGACACCACTACAAAAAATCCAGGCTCTCAGTCGTGTTTTTTTGCCTCTCTGCCTTTCTCCTTCTCATGTCCTCCACTCTCTATCGGTGTGGAGAGAATGAAATGGACTAGATCCTTTCCCATCTTATCTATTCCGTTTTTCCACGCATAAGCAAAAGTAAACTATTTATGTTTTGGTGCTGCTTTACTTATTGTCTGAGCAGTGACTGTATGTTACACTGGGTGACTAAAATATGGACGACATAGCACAAATATACCATATACAGCTCCACCAATACACTACGTATGTGCAAGCCTTCAATATACAAAGCAATCACTGTCAATAATTCTACTTACACACTCCTTCTCCCACTTGAGTTTGGTGTCAGTCACCATGCCGTGCATGCGCTGCTCCATGCGCCTCCTCTCTGACAGCTCTCTCTGTAGCCTTTGCTCCCGTGTCTCCAGCTCATGCTTAAGTGAGCGTTTGTCGTGCTCATACATGTCCGTTGTTTTCTGCAGGATGTCGATCTGAAGAGGAGGACGGGTAGTGTGAGTAAACAGTGAAAACAGCAAACAAGTGAATTCATATATCTTTTACAAGCCTACTAAAAGAGTTGCAAACCAAATGCAGAATAAGTTCTCTAGGTAAAAGAGAAAGCACCTTGTATTCCAGAGTTTTGGATTTTTTCTCTAATCGTTCTATCTCCGTCCTCTGGTTGATGATGACTTTGTCTTTCTCGCCCAGTCTGTTTCGTTGATCATGGAGGAAGGTCTCCTTTGCACTGATCTGACCGTCTAACTGCTGAAGCATGGACGCCAGTGTACTGGCTGTAGGAGAAAACACATTAATGTAAACTGTTTTTTGACTTGAAATGTTGCTTTTTTACTGCAGACAACTGTCTAAAATCAGCTATGAAATAGTGAATTAAATAATTATTTGTGGTGTAGAAAATGGGCCTGTACCCGTTTTGTTGTACTGCTCGGTCATCATCTGACGGACACGATGCCTCCTTTCCAGCACCTCCATCAGGCGTGGCAACGTCTGATCATCAGCTGGGTCCACCAGCTCACAGGGAGGCAGGGCTGGAAGGCTTTCTATGAGCTGATTCAGCAGACCGTGGTCATCTACAGTGTGAATAAGAATGTGTCATGGAAACATTGTGTAGAACTAGACATATGCAGTAAATAAAAGGTTTTCTGAAATTCACATATATGGAATGTAAGGATACAACATGACAGGAGCATAGTGAACTTAAGAGTGATTTACCTGCATTACTGGGACCTCCTTGCTCTTCCAGGCGACGTGACAGCTCATCTCTGAAGACCTGGTTTCTGTGTCTGCGTCCTGCTGCGAGGCCACAGATTGGGCGGTCAACCGGCCGCGCTACCTCCACCTCCTGGGTCATCTCTGCAAAGCGCATGACCAGCTGCAGCACATGCAGTGGAATACAATTAGAAATACACTAATTTCATCAACGCACCCATTAGTGCTCTAAATCAAATGCTGTTTGAAACTAAAATGTGAAGTTTGTTTAGTTCCAAAGAGTCTACTGTAATCTTGGAAGAAATTTGTATATTTAGGAGACAAAACAAGGGAAGTGTATATTTAACCATGTTGTCAAGATTTCATTGTGGTTTGATGGCAAAGCAGCCACATTTTGGACTTGTAAAGAATGAGATGAGTTTCTTCTGGGACAGAAAATGAGATTAAAGAGAAAAGATTTTACATGTCCTACCATTGTTTCGTCATAATCATCAGCCTTTGGGTTGACGCACACAATCATCCTGACTTTTCCTTCTCCATCAAAGTAGTTTTTAAACAGATGTGTAACTTTAGAGTCCCTGTATGGCACCATCTGGAAGAAAATAAAGGCTCTGTGAAACTGCACCTACTGGAAAATTACCAGTAGTACAAATTAAGATGAATAACATCACCTTACATAGAAATAAAACACATGCCAACCTTATTAGTTCCACACATCTGGTTTTCACGCAGGACTTCCATGCATGTGCGCAGTGTCATCAAGGACTGGTTGATATTACCTGTAAATCAGACATTACCAGAGATGTTTGGTAATATTACTAAACACAATGAAAATCTGAAGATTCACAGTGAATGCCTCTGGTTGGAGAGAAAAGCCCACTGTAAGAGGTAAACTGACCTGCTTCACGGAGGCGGCTTCCCTCTGCTCTGGTTCTGCTAGTGCGCTCACTGCCTGCCAGGTCAACCAGACACAGCTGACTCACATTCACCTGGTTTTTGTCCTGACATTTAATAACACACTGTTAGTGGCTGAAATCCTTTGTTGCACACAATGTGTACTCATTTTACTGGCTTTCTTTATCATAAAAACACACATTTTCTACACATAAAACTGAAAAACATCTTTCAGTATGTAACGTTTGCATGTCACCTGTAGAATGTGGTCCCCATCAGCATCAAGGGGTGCCTGGGCCAGCTTCACCGTGAACACACTGTGGGAGCGACTGGATTCCCGGTTGAGTTGAGTGTTGGCTATTCTCCTTTTCTTTTGTCCTAGAGACAGAAACAGAGCAGAGCATCATTAATATAATGTGTGACATTAACAACAGAAGTAACAAAAGTGGCCAAATATTCATATTTATAAGTCAGCAGATATTTTGCTTTGTCCAATTATTTCTGCTGATTTGACTGTTTAATTAAATATGAATGCTGATAATGGCCACTGGAAGCTACAGCTCACAACTGCCCTGATGCATATAAGTGATGTCAGCTCTGCATGGACATTGTAACAAAGAAAATTATTACCACTCACCCTTCCAAAAGACTTCAAAAGCCTCTTCTGTAGATTTCACCTCAACTTCTGTGCAGCCAGCCACATACATGTTATGATTCTGATCCTCTCGGAGAATCTTGGATTGAGGTGGTCTGAAACAAGTTAATTACGACAATCAACATACACCAGGAATGTAACACAATGATGCGTCTCTTTATTAAGACAAACAGCAAAAGCTAAAATAACAAATACTTGATGTTAGTGTCAACATTATTAATAAAATACAATCTAGGGAGACATACAGACACATTCAGGGGTAAAGGCACATGCACACAAGCTCGAGCCATTCAGGGGTCGTTACACTTCTCCACACACACACACTAACAGTAACAGCGGGGAGCCAATCCTCGAAGATGACAGCCACAAATGACACAAAGCTAGTAGGCTACACTTTTACAGGGCTTTGGATTAATGGGATGGAAATGCACTGATGACCTACGCAACATGTCAGCTACAGCCAAGTTATGACTATGAATAAATATAGTACAGTGTAATGTACTTTTACTGGCCACATACATGAACTCATTGTTCCGTACAGGTGTGCCTCCACCGAGCCACCTGACAAAAACAGGATTTTAAACAGTGCATCTTGTCAGCGTACACAAAGAAAACGCTATATCTCAACGAACTTATTCAGCACATACATGAAAAACAGTCAGAGTGGTTGTAATGCAGACACACATGGTTGCAAAACTACAAAAATACTATTTGTGGTGCACGTAAGTAGAGGCGGAACTGTGTGGGTGCAGCTGGGCAACTCAATATGTGGTCAGAGCAATCAGATACATGAATAGCAACACAGATAACCTGGATACAAATAAGCTTTGTACAGACAAACCTTCAACGTGATATTGCTCTACGCATACACCGACTTGAAATCCTGTCTCTTACTTTGGTCTGATTGGGTCAAATGGAGCATCTTCCAGGAGATCATAGATATAGTTGTTGTAGACCTCGATGTAGGACACAAAGACGCTGTAACAACAGTCTTCATCCACATTCTCAGATTTACACGCCTCCTCTGAGCTGATCATATCTGCAAACTCTGGGTCAGCAGCCTTCTGCCTAAAAACATACACCGAAAGAAGAGCGACATGATAAACAGCAGTGATAAGGTACTTTGTGAACAGCATACATAGTGTAGAAAGTACAAAGTGAAACACAATCACTCATATCTACCTGGAGGATGGTGTTTTGGGCACCGACTGTTGACTGTCTCGCTTCTGTCTCTCCAGCAGTGCGTCCACTTGACCCTGGATCTCCATCCCATTTTTGTCATCTGGTTTAAACACCTGATGAAGATTTAAATGTGAATAATTTCCAACCCCTCTCCAAAAACATAATCTTTCTTTAGAGACCAACTACAACAAGATATTAATGAATGAAAGTCTCACAAATCTTTTGGCCTGGAAGGGGCCGATGCTGTTGAAGAGCATGTCTAGAGAACGGGGGAGGAGTCCACCTTCTCCAGGTGAGCCGGTCATGGTGAAGGTCTTACCACTTCCAGTAACACCATACGTAAATAAGAGACCTGATAACATGGAATATCACAATTAAATAAAACACATTTTCAGGATTTCTAGTCATTTTCTATTGATCAACTAAGACTTTCATCACCAGAGAGGATACATAGTCAGTGTCTGGGATCCTGTGCTGTGCACATCTTACATTTTAATGCCTCGACAACAGCTTTAACTCACTTACCATTCTTACAATGAATGAGGTCCTCTACCAGTGGCCTGGCAACATCCTCAAACAGCTCCATTTGAGTGGTATTAATACCAAATACTTTTTTAAAGGAGTACTGTGTCTGAAGGATAAACAAAGAAACACCACGATATATGTGAATGTCATTGAACAGAAAACGGACAATAAAAAGGCCAATATCATCACCATGTCTTAAACCTGTTGTTGAAGAAAGTCTGAGGTGTCTACTGAACAGAGCTGAGACCAAACCACCTTTTTTAAAATTCAGTATCGCTGTGTGAGTTTTTTTTTCTCTTTGCAAATAAAACAATAATCAAACTGACTCAGTAAAAGCATTAGAGTTATCTGACAAGATCAACTAAGTTCAAAGCAGTAATTTATTAAGGTCAGCTGAAATAAATCAGCGGTGGCAGTCATATGTCTTCTGTTGACCTGTCTGTTTAAACAACAGCTCTTTATTGAGATTTCTAAATATAGATGTAGATGGTCAATTTCCTTAACAGGCTCAGAAAACTTGCCAAGCAAAGAGGGCTGCGGCACACTTACCTCTTTGTATTCCCCATTACGGTTGGCTTTAAGGCCATCGGGAGCATGTATCTGAATGGTGGAGCTGCTGATCATCTCAACACAACACTCCTCATCTTCTGCTCCAAGTGGACGTATACGGCAGTACACCTACAGAGACGAATGAGTAGATGAAGCCATCACAACTGGAAGAACTATGTTTAGATTAAACCTCATTTGAATGTCATATCTTGAAGACTGAGTCTATGTCTCATTAATCCTGGTTTAGTATATAAGTTCCACCTTTTACTGTGATTGTGCTGTAATATTGTTTTAATTTGAGAAATAAAGTAAATTGTTCACTTACTCCAACAGGATCTTTGTCTATGTTGGATGCCTTTTTTGGGCCATGCCTCCGAGGAGTCTTCCCTTTGCTGCAAGTCATAAAGCAAAACAGAATCAATGTCAAACACAACAAGATATATATAAATATAAATATAAATATATGGTACATTGTTACATGCTAGTTAATAATCCAGATAGTTCACTCAAGTAACTCAATGGACACCTGAACATTACCCTTTTTGTTCTACTTGTTTCATATGAATTTAAACAACCCCTTCATATACAACCCCACTATCATTTTGAGTTAAGTTAGTATTTTAGTTTGGTACAAATAATAGCAAAGGTGCCTGTAAACGTGTGCAAAGGGCTGATAAGAGAGTATGTTTCTGGCCTTTATTTGTTGTTTGGTGGCTTTTTCTTTATTGTATAAAGATAGACAGGAAAGGGGAAGACATGCAGCACAAGGCCACACTAAAAAAAAACAGCATGACATATTATCCAATGTCCCTGCGTGGATGGAATAAGGAATACTTTCCTTCAAAGTGTGTAATTTTATATAATTGTCTCACCATATATTCTGTGGGACAGTATCGATGGCAAACTCTTCTCTTCTCCTGTGGCTAATGTTTAACATCATAATGATCCTGAACTCCCTGAAGTAAAGCAGCATAAGTTCAGTGACAGGTGGAGTTTATTTATCCTTTGCTGGACGGGTGTGAATTAAGAGTATGACCCCTGTTTAAGACCTCATTACCAAGGTGTTGGGTGGGGTTGAGGTCAAGGCTCAAGCTCTTCCACATCAAACCCAGACATAATGTCTCAATTTGAGTCGTCGAGCAGAGACAGGAAAGGGGACAATGTTTATTTATTTATTTATTTATTTATTTATTTAATTAAAACTGAGGCGCCCAGGGCCGAACCAGTGGAAGATACAGGTGACGGTCAACAAACGTGTGAATTTAACATCAAGATTAAGATGTGTTACATTTTCACAGAGACACATAACACGAATATGTGAAGCTGTTATTAAAAAAAAAAACAATAATAAATAAATGAATGTGAAGTTCAAACCCCCCAAAATACCGACAGACAGTCAGCGGGACTAGCCGGCTAACGTTAGCAATGCTAACACTACGGGACCAACCGTTCCTCGGGAGACCAACCGCCGGCAGGTTACGGTTACCGTAGTTACCGTAACTGGCAACCGTTTTTAAACACACAGCGTCGTTACAGACTGTCCGCCGGTTGGAGGACTAACTGTAAAAGGTGGTAGTACTCACCCTGCTCTCTGCATTGTCGGTGTTGTTAACTTCCTCTCCGCCGCACACACACAAGAGCGCTTCTTCTCGATTTGAAAAATTCCCTCTGTGAGACGTCATTCCGACGGTGTGATATTTCAACCAATCACAGTGCGGCTCACAGCCGGAAGTCCCGCCCCCCCCTCTCGGTCGGATGTTGTTTTAGGTTTATTTCCTCTTTTTGTTTTGTTTTTTGTTCATTTCTTTCTCCTCATATGTTTTTTTTTCTTATTTATGCCTGAAGATTTAATTACTGTTTAGTTTATTTATGTTTCCATATTTTATTATTTTTATAAAATACCCATATTTTTGTTTTATGTTGTATTTTAGGGTTTGTATCATCCACGAGTTCCTGTATGTTACTTATGATTAGATTAGATTAGATTAGATACTTTATTCATCCCCAAGGGGAAATTCACAGTTTCCAGCAGTATCCACAAACTGATAATAATAATAATAATAATAATAATAATAATAATAATAATAATAATAATAACAAGAGGAGGTCAATTTAGAAGAACTAATAGAATAAAGTAGAATAAATAGCTAAATAACGAGCATGGGGCTCGTGTCCTAAGGTGCATGGTCAAATCCAGTGCTTGAAAGGCCTAAGGTGCATAAGTAGTGTCAGTCAGTCAGTCAGTCAGTGGTCACATAATGCAGGGAGCACTGCGTCAGGTTGTATAGTTAACTAAAGGGCAGACATATTGGAGTTTAGAGTTTTTCTCCCCTGGGTGGAGTTGAAGAGCCTGATGGCGTGGGGGAGGAACGATCTCCTCAGTCTTTCAGTGGAACAGGACAGTGACAGCAGCCTGTCGCTGAAGCTGCTCCTCTGCCTGTTGATGGTGCTGTGCAGTGGATGCAGTGGATTGTCCATGATTGACAGGAGCCTGTTCAGCGCCCTTTGCTCTGCCACAGATGTCAGTCTGTCCAGCTCTGTGCCCAACACAGAGCCCGCCTTCCTCACCAGTTTGTCCAGACGGGAGGCATCCTTCTCCTTAATGCTGCCTCCCCAGCACACTACTGTATAGAAGAGGGCGCTCGCCACAACAGTCTGATAGAATATCTGCAGCAGTTTTTTGCAGATGTTGAAGGACGCCAGCTTTCTGAGGAAGTATAATCGGCTCTGACCTCTTCTGCACAGGGTGTCTGTGTTGGCAGTCCAGTCCAGCCTGTCATCCAGGTGTACTCCCAGGTATTTGTATGTCTGTACCAACTCCACACGGTCACCGTTGATGGTCACATGTTCTGGGTGAGCCCTGGGCCTTCTGAGGTCCACCACCATCTCCTTGGTCTTGTTGCATATTGTGTGTTTAATAATAATTAAATGGTTTACGTTGGATATATCTGGTAGAGCAAGAAATGATTAAACTAAATATTAAATGTGTATTCACAGGCTGAGTAGTACTCCTCATGATGTGGTCTAAACAAATAAATAATAGTTCATTTTAAGTTAATTCCTGACTTTTGATTAAAAAAATAAATAAATCAAGGTCTAACAATAAAGTAGTTTCCACTACTAGTGATTCCACAAAGCTACTCAAATATTTCCAAAATATTATAAAATATTAAATAATATATTTAGGAAAATTGGTCTTTAGGCTGCGTGAGAGTGATATTTTATCTTATTGAGACGATTCTAAACAAAAATGTAAAAGTCATAAACAAACCCTACATTTAATCTCTCGTAATGATATTCACCTATATACCAAATCTGACCTGAAAATTAGAATTGGAAAAAACTTTAGATTATTGATTGAAATTACAAGACTTTATTTGTTTGTATCTCCATTTTTGTCCCATGTATTTGTTTATAAACAGTTCCTTGCATTATCCTGTATCTTTTTATGTTTGTAAATTATAGTATAAGCTCACAGCACTGTAACTCTTGTTGTTCTTATATATATATATGTTACTGTATCTGTGTTTGAATTAAAAACAATAATTTATACTAAAATAAACAGTTAATATAAAAAGTTTTAGCAACCTGGAGATACAACATAGGTTACACAGTAAAACTCCTTACAATTAGAACGACATGCAGGCAGGTTTGGTAAATAGTTTATTTGAAAAATCATAATAAATAACATTGTACATAAATACTCTCAGTTTTGACTTAACGGACACAGTGTGACACATATCATACAGGTCTAATGAATCATAAACAGCAATCATATGAGGGAAATAACTCTGAAAACATTCACTCTGTATTACATAACTGAACAGTAACTTCACTTTGCAGGCAGCTCAAACTCATGAGCAAAACTATTGTCTTCCCTTATCATAACTGTCTCTTGTCTTGACGTTTCATGTGAGTGATGTCCAATCATACTGCTGCTTTTATTGAGCATGATCAATCCAATGAGTTTGTGTACAAGCACAAGCGCTATAAATATGTAAAGGCACAGTGTCTAAATTCAGCACTATCATTTCAAGTTCAAAGTAAAATTAGCATTTTGAATTTCACACAATTTCTGTTCCTCCTCTTCATTTCCCATGTGTGTGGAAATCAGAGAAGTGAGGTAAAACAAAAGATTTATAAACAATATGAACACTGCCTCATAATGTAGCTAAGTGGCTACATTTGTAGCTTTTTTTTGGTTTAGTTTCCTCAGAAACATTTAGATTCATATACATATGTATTTTGTTAAATTTGCATTGTATGTGTTGTTTGTGTAACCTATACCCTTATTTGTACCCACCCATCTAACAGCAGTCATCATAGTGATGTCTGAGAAATATCACCGTGAGTTTAGTGCAGACTGCAAGTTATAATTCACTTTAACATCACACCAGCTCCTGTAGCTCAGGAGTGTTCCTTACAATGTTTTTAACATCACCCATAATGCACTTTTCTCACATGTCCGTATGTCTCGTGACCAGCTGGGATCCCTCAGCTGATTTACCAGCAGGGGCAGACCTTGGCGGAGGCTTTCTTTGGACCTTTATCGTGTTTCTTTTCTGGGCACACTGGGGCAGAGAGGAGAGGTAGACTGTAGAGGATGATGATAGTAAAGTTCACCACCACACAGAACAGCGCTGCACCCAGAGAGTTGGTGAACGTGTTGGGTATGGATTGTTCAAGGAGCCACGGGCGCCGTGTCACCATGTCCTGTTCAATGGCCTTCATCTGGAAGTGGGTGCCGAGGATGCCGCACACGTGGAAGAGTTGATGGCTGTGACCTGCAGAGGGAGCAGTCGAGTCGTGTTTGAGCTCAGGTAATACAGTCACATGCAGCAGAAAGAGTTAAAAATGAATCAAACCCTCATAACTTGAGCAAATGAGTCACCCTGTCAACTGGTTTAATAAAGAATAGAAACATTTGGAGCTGGTTAAGCATTAATGTTATTTCACAATGTTTAACAAAAATGTGAATCCAGTGTTTATCTGTAGTCTAAGATCTGAATTTATTTGACAGTGAGCTGTAAAAAAAAAAAACCACTGCATTCAAGCAAACTTCTTAATCAGGAAACTAAACTTCTTGCATATAATGAGGGTCTAAGGTTGGTAGTGAGCAGTCTGTAATATGTCAGTCTCTGTCTAACCTGCTCTTCTGAATCTGGTGCTTTGCTCTGCACTTACATTGCACATTGTACCACATCATTTTGTTCAGTAATTGACTGTTGATTTGATAGATTGAAGTTGTTTGTTGTCAGTAAAGTCATTTGAGACACACTTATGAGAAAGGTATATATAAATAAATGAACATAAATAATATTCATGGTAATAAGAATCACCATTATTGCAACATAAGTGTCTTTATTTACAGTATAGAACCCACTCAAGGACTTTAAATGCTCTACAAAAGTACTTACAAATGTAACAATTAGGAAAATGGTCCAATGAATAATAAATATTATGAATACTGAGGTACATAATACTGTACATTTGTAATTTAAGCCTTTTTTTGGCAGTTGCTTTGCCAACTGTGGGCAAAAAGCTGTAAACACAACTGACATATTGTCACTCTTTGAGATGTTATGACTTCTTAGCAAACAGTTGCTTATTTAAACATCCAGCAGATATGAAGCAACATTAGAATTTATTTATATAACTCTGTTTAAGGTCTTATGGTAGCTGTGAACTATCTTAACCAGCAAGTCGCTGACTTTATCTGTCTGACTGGAAACAACGCTGATGAGAGTGCTGAGAAACAGTAAGCCAAAAACAGTAAAGCTCTCCACAGAGCTGAGAGGAACAGCAGACCTAGAGTGTCAATCCTCTGTAGGGCTGAAACTAATGCTTAACATGCCAATGACAACAATAATCACTCCTCCTTACCTATGTAGTCGAAGCTCCCAGGTGCCAGGCGCTCAGGTAAATGTGTGGCGAACAGGAAGCCTGTGAGGAGAGCCAAGGCGATGTGGTTGTAGTGGAGGATGTTTGTATCATTGTCTGTACAGCCCTCTCCTACACACAGAAATACCTGTGAACACAACACACAGAGCAGATTTAACAGATTGATTAAACACAATTCAGTTTTACAAAATAAATCACGATAAATAAACTTGTTTCTTATTTTAAAACTATACATCCAAAAATAGGAGCTCAAACTTGTAAACCTGTCTACACTACGCTGTAAATCAGTGCACCACATTGAATAAAATGATTCATTTCTTTTATGGTATAATTAATAAAATGCTTTGCAACTCTCAGGCACTAATGATTTGACCAATGTATAATGTTTGATACACTTAATTTCCAGTTAAAGGGCTTTAGCATTACAGGAGGTAACACTGGGTGTTTGCTTGTTGTCACTCAAACACTAAAACAGCTTTTATTATGTAGCATGTAATTTAACTGAATGTACCATGTAGCGAATGTTTTTGGCCACAATTTCAGGTGAAAAGTTCTTTATGCATCAACTATTTGAGTTTTTTTGTCTCTTTGTACTAACTGCTCACCACATTCACTTCATATGGAAACAAAACAAGTAAAATATCTTACTGTTACAGGACCAGATTTATCTTCATAACCTGTGTAATATTTACAAGGTAAACTACTGTTCATTATTACTTTAAATCATATCACAGCTGAGATAACCCTTGTCATGGACATAATAATACAATGTAATG